GATGGCTGAGATAAGAATTGAGTAGAGGAAAATATTTAGTCCTGGGAGGGAGATGGCCCTGAGGCCTTCTTGGCCTCTCAGAACTGACAAAAACAGATTAGATCATCTTAGATCCTATATTCCAAGTTAGTCAGCCAATCACCCTGGGCCATAAACCTAGACTGGTACATGATCAGAGGTATCTCCTTTATATATTAGCCTTGCACTGTGTAGGATAATGCCCCAATCCCAGTGAGCTCTGGAAAAATGTGTAATGCTAATTTAGTGGCTGCTAAGCCACGGCAGGTAGCCCAGGGTCTCATATGTTGTCCTGTTCCTGGTGGGTGGTGGGGCACATTGTGGGTGGAGGAGGTTAATATCCAGTGGAGCTGGGGTGTCTGGCTTAGACAGGTGGCTTCTCACATACAGTAGTAACCTGCTTATCTCATGGAAACTTGCAACTCCCCACTGAAGAAGGTGGATCTTTGACCTGAAGAATGCCATTGTAAAATCCTTTTGTCGTCTTCTTCTCTCTTCCATTTCTTTTCATAACCCCTTTTTTTTCACTATAGCAAAGTACCCACGTTTGTTCGAATGCTGGCCCCTGAGGGAGCCCTGAATATACATGAAAAAGCATGGAATGCCTACCCTTATTGCAGAACTGGTGAGTGCAGACTTGGCTAGAAGCTGGAGTTTGGACCTCTAGGTGGATGAAGGTGTGGTCAAGTAGGCCAGGGGTGGGGGTGCTTTGGGGCTTTGTGTTCCACATTTGTTTTCCAGATTAAGCAGTAAAAGGATGAGGTTAAGTTAAAGGCTCCCTTGTCAGGTGGTGAGAAGTGTTGTCCAGCACAACTTGTCAGTCAGTGGGGTGGGAACCACCAACTAGTCACAGCCTGAGGTAGCACAGAGCCAGCCCTTTTATTTAGGGGTCGTGTGGTAATTTTGATTGTTTTCACTGATTGTAAAAGTAATGTTCTCTGTATACATTTTGGAAAATAAATAAAAACAGAAGAAAATAATCACCCATTATTCTAACATTTTAGTATATTTTTTCTAGTCCTTTTTTTTTGAGACAGAGTCTCGCTGTGTTGCCCGGGCTAGAGTGCTGTGGCGTCAGCCTAGCTCACAGCAACCTCAAACTCCTGGGCTCAAGCGATCCTCCTGCCTCAGCCTCCCAGTAGCTGGGACTACAGGCATGTGCCACCATGCCCAGCTAATTTTTTTCTGTATATTTTTAGTTGCCCAGCTAATTTCTTTTCTATTTTTTTTTTTTTTTAGTAGAGACTGGGTCTCGCTCTTGCTCAGGCTGGTCTCGAACTCCTGAGCTCAAATGATCCACCTGCCTCGGCCTCCCAGAGTGCTAGGATTACAGGTGTGAGCCACTGTGCCCGGCCCCATCATTTCCTTTTTTAACATTATTATCTTCAAGCTGATAACAGGACAGTTTTTTCAATATAGGTCTTTTAGTTATCACCTTAATCTGGTGCTTTCTTCCAAGTATCTTTCATTGGGTTTGGGGAAATTACTGATAGTCTTTTGGGTTATTTCTGTACATGGTAGATTCTTATTCCCATATTTCAGCTTTTCCCCATTTCAGTGTCAGAGGTAACCATAGTTTCAGTTTTGAGTTATGGAGTTTGTTAGCCCCATACACTCTCCAAACATGGCAGTGTGGCATCCATCAGAAACTGAGGTAGCTCCTAAATTCAGAGTGTGCAGTATGAACCAGGCCTTTGTGAGGAGAGCTAGTCCATTCCCCAGAGACCTGAGAGCTGCAGTCATTTTCTCTGATAAATAATTGAACCGTGCTTTCCGAGGGGTTCCCATTACAACGAGCAGGAGTGCAGAGCGTGGGAGGTTTGGTTACAGTGAGAGGAAGGATGCAGAGGCAGACAGACAGCGCCTGGCCTAAAGTGCCCTGCTCTGTGCCCTGGGGGGTGGGGGTGGGGCACCCTGGCGATGCTCTGATGGCAGAGTGATGGGTGGCAGTGCCTGGGCTGATCAGAGCCTCTCCCCTTCCTTGCCCCACTGGAGAGAATCCCAAGAAGCCCATAGTGGCATTGCTTTAATTAAATTGCATATTTGGTCTTTTGGGATGTTTATATGAGTGAAACTTGAGGGTTGATGCACTGAGCTATTTCTGACTCACTGGGGCTTGGAAGTGACTATGAATTAAGCCACAGGGAGTGGAGAACTCTGCCATTCATGGTCCCTGGGGATGGGGGGCAGCTATTTCTTCATCTTCATTAATCTTTTTCTCTCTTCTTTCCATGTCCTTGCCTTGGAGCAGTTATTACAGTAAGTATTCTCAGGGGGGTTGGAAGTATAGATGATTTATAAGAAAAAGGGAAATAAAAGTGTAACCGCACTGGTGGTCCTGGGTATTCTCCTCTTTCCCTTGGGTGATGTTTGGAGTTGTTCAGGCTAAACCCTTTCAGTCCTAATGAGGAGCTTATTAACTGGCATGGCGACCTCCTGCTTTAAGCTGCGTTGGCATGTGGCTTTATCAGGTGCATCCTGTGGGTCTGACATGTTCAGGATGGCTCGAGGCTTTCCCTCCCCTCCCCAGGTCATGCCTTCTCAGGGTTGTAGAGAAATTTCAGGTCCCCTGACCTGATTGACATCCCTTCCCTGTTTGGGCATCTGTTGACCACAGTGAGCACTGACCCTTAGCAAAATTGTGACATAAACAGGGTTTCTCTTCCATCACCATCCTTCTGTCCATGCCTTTCCTCTCCACCCTTCAGCATACTCATCCTAGTGCCTTGTCCCTGATGCTAAATGTAGGCAGTTTCTGGGAAACTAATTCCTACTGAGAAGCTAATGGGTTATTGTGTTCCTCCTTGAGTAGTTCCTTTTTTTTTTTTTTTTTTTTGAGGCAGAGTCTTGCTCTGTGGCCCTGGGTAGAGTATAATGGCGTCATCACAGCTCACAGCAACCTCAAATTCCTGGCTCAGGCAATTCTCCTGCCTCGGCCTCCTGAGTAGCTGGGACTACAGGGTCGTGCCACCACACCCAGCTAATTTTTCTACTTTTGGTAGAAACAGGGTCTTGCTCTTACTCAGGCTGGTCTTGAACTCCTGAGCTCAAGCAATCCTCCCGCCTCGGCCTCCCAGAGTGCTAGGATTACAGGTGTGAGCCACCATGCCTGGCCAGTAGTTCCAATTTTTAAGAAGCAGGAAGGGAGGGAGACAGTAATTAGCATGAAGGGTTGAGTTGCTGAGAAGACAACTTCAGGCCTCAGGAAAAGGCTGTGGTGACTATTTTTGGTAGGTTACTAAGTCTCCCTGTGCTCTTTCCACACTACCAATTAACTGTTAGCATGCTACGCATAAAAGTATAGTAGAGTGGTTAAATGCATGGATTTTGAAGTTAGACAAACCTGTTTTTGAGACCCAGCTCTGTCATGATGTCTGTGGCTTTGGACAAGTCACCTAACCTCTTTGAACTTTGGTTTCCTCACCTGTAAAATGAGGGTGATTCTGTAGACCTCACAGGGGCGGATGCAGATTAAATGGGATAACGCATGCCTTGCATATTGTGGGCTCCCAGTCAAGTTAGCTGTGATTTAAGGCAGAGGCTGGGGTCTCTTGACTAACTATGATCCAGTAATGGGAGATGGCTGCTTCCTAACTGTGAGCCTGGTGACTTTAAGGTATTTTTTTTCCCCTCTTTCAGAATGAATACATGAAAGAAGACTTTCTGATTAAAATTGAAACCTGGCACAAACCTGATCTTGGCACCCAAGAGAATGTGAGTAGTACTTCCCAAGGACTTCCAGGCCCCAGGGCAGGGTCTTAATGCTATGCCCTGCAGCTTCTCCATCCCTGCCATAGCATCCTCTCTGTGGTCCCCTTTGCCTGGCCAGAAAGGCAGTGGCCTCTGCTTAGACCTGTCCTGTCAGCGTAGGATCGCTCTGCCTCTGATTTACAAAATGTGATCTCCAGGACACTCCTCGTAGTTCTTGAATTGGTCTAAAATGCAGGTCTTGGCAGAGGAGCTGTATTTCTTTCTTTCCTTTTTTTTTTTTTTTTTCCTTCTTTAGAAATAGGATCTCACTCTGTTGCCCAGGCTGGAGTACAGTGGACTGATCATAGCTCACTGCAACTTTGAACTCGTAGGCTCAAGTAATTGTCCTGCCTCAGCCTTCCAAGTAGTTAGGACTACAGGCATGTGCCACCACACCCAGCTAGTTTTTTGTTGTTGTTGTTTTGGCTTTTTTAATACATTGTAGAGACAGGGTCTCACTATGTTGCCCAAGCTAATCTTGAGCTCCTGGCCTCAAGCAATCCTCCCTCCTTGGCCTCCCAAAGTCAGAGTGCTATGATTACAGGGATTAGCCACCTCACCTGGCCCCAATTTTGTTTTTAAAAAAGGTGTATATATTCCTCTTCCTTGGTTTTTTTTTTAGTTTTTGAGAGACAGGAACTGTATGAGGTATTTTAAAAACATCAAAATTACAGTTTCAGTAGAGCACAATTTACAACAACTCCCCAAATTTAGAATATATCTGTTCTTTATCCCAGCAATTTCATGCCCAGGAATTTATTAGATAGATATTTTCACACGTGTGAAATAACATATATACAAGGAGATTCATTGTAGCATTCTTTGTGTAGCCAAGATTAAAAACAACAAGGGCTGGGCCTGGCAGTGGCTCACATTTGTAATTCCAGCGCTTTGGAAAGCTGAGGCAGGAGGATCACTTGAGGCCAAGAGTTTGAGACCAGCCTGGACAACATGGTGAGACCCCATATCTACAAAAAATTAAAAAATTAGCTAGGCATGGTGTTGCACACCTGTAGCCTTAGCTACTTGGGAGGCTGAGGCAGGAGGATCACTTGAGCCCAGAAGTTTGAGGTGGCAGTGAGCTGATTGTGCCACTGTACTCCAGCTTGGGCAACAGAGCAAGACCCTGTCTCTGAAAAATAAACACAAAAACAACACAAGAGCTTATTAGTAGGACACCATTAAATAAATTGTGGCACAGGCAAATAGACAGCCATTAAAAAGAACCAATAAGGAACAATCTTCATGATACTTTGGTGAAAAAAGCAAGAAATGAAACAGTGTATGTATGTACTACCATTTGTATTTTTTTAAAAAAATCTATGCATATGGGTGTTTGTATGTGTATAGACTCTGGCAGCAGTGGCTATTACTAGAGTGGAGACTGAGGAACAAGCAAGAGGAAGAGTTACTCTTATTGTATCCTTTTGTACATTTTGAATTTGTGTCATAATTTTGTATTATGTGCATGTACACGTATTCAAAATAAGCAGTATACAGCTAAGCAGGCAGCATCTCCGGAAGCGTTTACAGTCTTTTCAAAGGGGAATGTATGGAAACAATGTAAGTGCTGTACATAGCCCTTGGAGTGTTCTGACCTGTAGAAATGGTACTTAGCCTGAAAAAGAACATTTGTTCTCGAATTTATGTCTACTTAAGATCCAGCTGGGTACAGGAGTACCTGCTTGTAGTCCCAGCTCTTCGGGTGGCTGAGGCAGGAGGATTGCTTGAGCCCAGAAGTTCTAGGCTATAGTGTGCCACAATCATACCTGTGAATAGACACGGCACTCCAGCTTGGGCAATATAGCGAGATCCTGTCTCTTAAAAAAAAAGAAAAATCCATTCTCTCATTCCTTTGGGTAATTTTGCATATAATTCTTTACCAGTAGGAATCTCATATGTATGACTATGGGAATAGCCATTCCTAGGTGTCCATTCTGGGTAAAGGGTGCTTTGTAGCTTACAAGAAACTGCACAGTGGTCCCCCTTCTTCCTGCAGGTGCATAAACTGGATCCTGAGGCATGGAAACATGTGGAAATCATATATATAGACATTGCAGATCGAAGCCAAGTACTTAGCAAGGTAGGAACTATTTTAAGATGTGGGTGGCCTTCGAGATGCAGGAATGACTTCTAAGTATTAGAGAAACCTAGGAACCATACCCAGTTTGGGTCAAAAGGAAGTTCTCTCTGGTGTGCACTGTTTGTTTTATTTTAAAGTTAGTATTAGGAGTTCCCTTGTCTTGAGGAGGGGATATTACCATGAAAATAGTGGCCTAAATTTGTGTCTCTTCTTTGGCCTCTGGAAATTATTACTGGACAATGTAGGTGCTATAGGTGGTGGGGTATTTTGCTCTGCTGAAAGGATGCTTAGCCTGAAAAATCAGAGCACTAGTTCCCAAATTTATTTTTCCA